ATATATATATATATATTATAATATATATATATATATATATATATATATATATATATGCATATATAAAATGGCTGGATTATTTTTTCACAGATATTTTTACTAATTTTTGACATTTACAGCCTTCTTCTTCATACCAATTCTTCACAGAAAATGGAGAACAGTTAATGATTTTCACAAATTATGACTTAGGTCGGCCATACACGCTCGGAAGCCTATCGGAACGTATAGATAAGGAAATTGCACAGTTATTTTGGTCTGCGCAAGCGGCTTGAGGAAATATGAAAAATTATTCGATTTGCTTGAACTGAATTGGCCTTTTTTACGACTGTGTAGCGACGTGCTCAAGTCAGATTAATCGGAAGTTAGCATTGCAAAGAAAGTAATTAATTATGTATATTGAAACATCCACAAAAGAATTGCTCTTTAATTGTTTCTTCTATAATTGCTCGATTTAATTAATTAATATTAATAACATTTTTACATGAAACATCATTACAATCATAAATTTTTCTTTAGCAAATAACTATTTACATTTACTTACTTTTTTAAAATCTATTCTTAAGAAACGATTGCTTCTCAATCATTTTCTTTTATTTCCATCATAGATTTTTGTTCAATTAAGGAGCAATTCTTTGTTGTATGTTTCACATAATTATTTTTATTCGCTGTGTCAATTTCCGATTGGTTTAATTCAGTTAAATTGATCAAAGCGTGTAGATGCACTACAATCATTTGGTAGATTTGTATATACATGTTTTTGCAAGCATGCTTGTCAAGTTTGTCGGAACGTGTAGATGACAAAACTACACCGTGCTTGCGCATACTTGACAAATTTACTTGTAACGTATATAGCCGGCCTTAACAATACAACGTATACAATGTTCTTTGCTATTGCCTATCATCTTTTTCAATTAACTTAAAACATAATATTTAACAAAATTAAATAATTGCAGAAATATGTATCTCTATTTTGAGACGACAGTACAAGAACAAGTGTTTTCCTGATGTTCTTGTTGGCCGGCGGAGATCGAAAGGGTCTTTTAAAAGGGGCCTGATCTTTAATGGGCGCGTGACGCGAGATTGTTCGCACTTCGAGCTGAAGGCCCTGAAGGCTTCGAGCCCAGTGGAATATTTCTAAATTGGCGGTCAGTCGATTGTCACCTAAATATCTAGATGGGATAATTGGGCCTGGATTGGCCTTACCGGTTATTTTTAGCCACGACGAAGGGGGTAGACCCTATTCCTCTGGCTAAAAATAATCCGATGCGTTGACAGATTGACGCAGTCACGCATTAAAATGGTCCTCTTTCCTTTTGACAATTTTTATCCCGCTCCGGTTGATACACGCAGGAAGAAATATATGTATAAATCGTGAGAACGTATTCGAATTGACGTATTCGAATTGAAATGTGGGAAACATGTTTGAAACGTGTCTCGTTTTCAGCACACAAAAATTATCCTGTTTAATTTAATTCCTCATTGCTGGTTCATCGATCGAATTTGATCTTGAATTAATTATGATTCCACGAAAAGAAAGAAACAAACTACTGATCTCGTAACAATTTTACGAAATAATCTTCGAAAAGTTGCAATAGCTGATTGCCGGAAAGAACGCCATGTCGGCTTTTAAATCTACGTAGTTTTCAAAATGATTCGATCCAATTTTAACGCAAACCTCCGTTGACGTGTGACGTCACCCACTGGTACGCCATCAACAAGAATCTTTCCTGTCAGCTTCAGACATCACCTGATTACGATTAACAAGTCTATAACGGTCTTACTCCAAACTAATGGTCTAATTATCTCTTCAAACACGAAAGACTCGCGTGAAAATGACACCTGTGACGTCTTAGTACCACCCTAAGCGGACCATGATATCTTATTTTAGCACATAGTCATTAACACTTCTTTTTACATTTAGCCTCGTTTTATTAAAAGAGCTAAGCCAAAATAACTGCCTCATTTTCAAAGCTTCTCTAAAAAGTGGACAGAATTTTGTAGATTTTCATCATCAATTGTCTGCTTTAAATTTCTTCATTTTTCAACACTTTATTTTTATCATTTAATATTTGGTGAAATATAAATAATTTCATCCTTTTAATTTACGTAAATGTTTCGAATTTTTTTGAGCAAAAAAGTTCTAGTAAAAAAGATAGACAACTGATCCTTGATTTATTCTCTCTCGGGTAACGAGGTTCTCCTATTTAATATTTGGGTTAAAAGTTTAATTCGCCACCGAGCTAGAATTGCGATTTTAATTTAATTCTGACTAGCAGACGTGTGCCGCCGCGTCATCTGCTGCCTACGTTCAGTTTACGCGCGGTCACAATACACTCTTCAAGTTTTCATCATTCCATCACTTCCTCCGCCTTGTATCACATCACGCGAACGCAATGGACTCTGTTCATTTATTTATATTAATAGGTCTTTGCATTCAGCGTTTTTTTTCGGTTTTGAAAAATTCCTCGGCATCTTGATCTATCTCGCTTTTCGGTGTTTCAGCCAAAGAAGAAACAATCAAAGAAGAAACAAAAGAATTAATGTTATCTTCTTAAATTCGTAACGTTATCTTTACTTCGTAAAGTTATCTTTTTTAAATTCTAAATTTTTTGAAACTCAACATCCAGTATTTCTCCGTCTTATAATTTTCCATCTCTTATAGAAAAATTCGTGCCTCTTTTTTTCTTGCTAATCTTGTCACTTTCGCGAACTCCACACATTTTCTTAGACTTCAAATTGGAAGCAAATGGTTGAAGCAAAAGAATTAACGTGAAGTTATCTTCTTTAAATTTCTAAATTTGTCTTTAGATTCTAAAAAAGATTTTTTAAAGCTCGACTTCCAGTATTTCTTCGTCTTATACTTTACCACTCTTTTACCTCCGTCTTATACTTTACCACTCTTTTACCACAGAGAAATTCTTTTTTTCCTGCTAATCTTGTGTCACTTCTTTCGCGAACTCCACACACACATTTTCCTAGACTCCAAATTGGAGGTAAATGATTGATTCATCAGATGAGAAACCAATTGTTTTTCGGGTATTTGCTTGCCTTTAATGCACTCCGACATTCTACGTAGTCTCCTATCGACGTGTACTTGCCGATCCGAGTGAATTAATGGATTGTCGCTGCTTATTATTTCTAGCAGCACCGTAGATTTATTGAATTGACTTTGCATCGATCACCGCATATGTCACCGCGTGTACAATTGAACAAACAAATGTGCCCGGCCGATCGCCGTCACTAGCTTGTGACTATTGTGGCATAATTGTCGTTGCGTTTCAATTTGCTGACTATCATATGGGTCATCGCGGCCTTGACGGCAATTCCTTCATATGCAGAACGCGAGTTCCAAAAATCTTGAGGACACATTTCTACATTCCTTTTGAATTCCCGACGAGAATTCCCCACACTTAATTCGACGACTCGTTTCACGACGTGCATCGCTAGAATAAATTACGAAATCTTCCGTAAAATTCAACTTGCTATTTACATCGGGACGTGTTGTGGGCTTTAATATATGACGATAACAATCGGTCACATGCTCGCGCCGGATTGATTGGACGGTAAATGACCGCGTGCTTCTCCGGAGGATTTATATTCTTCAAATAAATCGATCTTTAATTTAAATTCCTCCGACTTCATCGACTTCATCGATTCGCCTTCTTGTGTGTGCAAGTGTGCGATACGAGATTTATTCCGTCCGCTTCTGTTTACCAGATACTGATTTATCTTTGCCTTTCTTCCTGCAATTAATATTTACTAAATTAATACTTACTAATTGGTATTTGCTAATGAAAAAGGAAACTGAATTGATAGAATGTTGCATTTTACATTTGTGCGACGTCCATTAATTTCTACGCTCATAATTTGCTCATAATTTTCAACGGTTCGCTCAGAATAGATGATTTATTTCCCACGAGGAAACAGCGTTTAAAAATTTTTCCCTTCTTAAGATCGACGAGATATCCGCTTTGCTTTCCGAAGGAGGAATTAATTCGATAGCCCAGCGACAATTGTGACGATAATTAATAATCGCACTGGGATTTTCGAAGAGTCGAGATTTCGAGTTCCGTTCTCGTTTGAGTTCGCTTAATAAGGCTCTTCATCAATGGAACCTTTTACTCGGTCCGCAAACCGAGGGTCAATTGCTTATTAACTCAAAGAGCCGCAGCGGCTATTAAACGATTTCATTGTCATTGAAATAATTTGCAAAAAACGAAAACGGTCACGTTCATCCGGAAATAAGCGCAAACCTTCGATCCTCGCAGTTGGCGCGCAGAGGGAATTTTCTTTTTTACGACTTAAACGATCACGAGTCGGAAGAATAAGGAAATGGTCTTACCTTCTTCTCGACGCATTCTGGAATGAAAATGCCTTGCAAACATCGCACATTGTCACGTGTCCTTTTCACGGTTCCCTTAAACTGTCCGGAAATGAGGCAATTTGGCGGTCGCATTTACGCCGGCTTATGAAATTAGATCAAACGCGCGGTGGAAACGGTCGGTCTAAACAACGCCACAGTCAGCAGTTACTCGATGCTGTACGGCTGCACTCGGTGTATCATCGTATACAGATATGTCATCGTATACATTACTAAAAATCATCGTGTCATCACACACATACATTGCAGAATCATTGTTACCAAAGGATATACGAGTTACATTTCGTATATTATTTCTCTTGCATCTTGTAGAAACACACTTCGGAAAACCGATTTACCGCAGTTTTATTTCAATTTTATTTTACTTTAAATATCTTTTAATACAATAATACAGATTACAGAAACAGATTAATATTTTTAATATTAATATGAAATTAAGAATTTTAATTAATAATGTAAGAATTAAGGTAAAACAGAAGCGCGCTTCGACAAGTTTCATTTTTACCTTACAGTTATTCTTTCCTCTCGATGTATTACTTTCACTTATTTGTATATTACAATGTTTGTATAGCATATCATTTAAAATTATCTACTTAAAATTATCTACTTGATTTCCGTGTGCTTATCAATTGGACAAATATAGTTTAGAATCGGATCCTATCTATTTGACTTTCATGTCACGTTAACATTGAACCATTTCGATTGATAAAGCTCAAAAGTGGAGGGTCACACATATGTTGAAATACGAACTGCGTTTGCTTCAATTGTGAAATATTCGATCAATTTTCCTCAAATTAAGACGCCCAAATGATTTTCTTGAACTAATCCGATCGACCATTTTTATTTTTAAATGTAAAGAAATAAAATTGACGAGTTATTGATTTATTATTAAACGTATCCATTTGAGTCTCATATTACTTCTTGATATTCTCGAGGAAAAATCAAGGACTCTTAATTCTCATTTGAGAAAATTTGTTTCAGGATATTTCACCGATGAGACGCAAGTTGAATGCCCTCATGATCGATCCCCGATTGATCTCACCTGGCGGACGCTGCCTTCACAGAACCATTCGCGTAGAGATCGGCTGCCATGGCACTGTCAGTCCGATGGCATCCCGATCGTGGATATTTCGGAGGAATGTGCGAGCTGAGATCTCGTCGATCTCTTCCCTTTGTGTTCCGTTCCCTCCGTCGAAGATCGGCGAGCACAGAATCCCTCAAAATTCTCGACGGCTGTCACTGAGAATCGTCAACCTTGACCGGATTCATACTCGTCGCGAGTGAAAAGCCGATCGCTTCGGTCTAAACACGCTCGTCGTATTGACATTATCATCGGTAACACAATACACGACTCGTACGCGGCATGTACAATCTCTTATTATATACACATTCTATACGCGTCTATATGGATACTTGTATCTTCTTCTATCTACTGCGAGATGAAAATTCCGAAAACTCCGTTGGAGACACGCGAATGATTTTCGGGAAAGGCGCGAGCGAGACGATTCGCGTGACGAGCGCAATTTCGAGGGAACGACTGTCGCTCCGTCAACGGAGGAGACGTAGGATCATCCTGTGCCCGCCTCGTGACTGAACTATGTCAGACGGAGGCACTGTCAATTGGATAACTACCTACCCCACATTGGCACAGCGTTGTCGCGTGTAATACAGCATATCGTTGACGCTTGAAAGCCAGCACGTAGTTCACGTTCTCCCACTTCTTCTTCTGGATCACTTTATCTCCATCTTCATCTTCCTCTCTCATGGATACCTGTCTCTTTCGGGAGCGCAGCATCACGCTTCCTCGTCCTTCCATCTTTCCATTTCCTATTTCGCTTTTGTTCCAGTTCTGCGTTCTCGCGCAGCAAACTGGATCACGGTCCGATGCACAGAGAAGATAACTGATCTAATCTGAAAGCCTTGTTATATAATATTCTATTTTTCATTTCCTATTTCCAAGGAGATCTATTGTCGATCCATCATCCGATTATTCATCATTCGCATTTATTGGCGCTTATTATCTCTGACGTTACTTGAATTCGAAGTAAATGTCACGGAGCTGCAGGAACGTATTATCTCGTGCGTATATTCTGTCGTCATTTCGGTAGCATGAATTAACTTGGTGACGCGGGAAGAATAATCCATATCATACGGCACGTCGGCTCAATCACGCCGACCTTGCAAACCAACTAATACCGATCTTCGCGGGAAAGCCTGCAAACTAAATTCGAATGTTCTTGATTATTGATATGCCATTCATCATATGAAATAAATCGTTTCTTCACTTAAATACAAATAAAGGAGATTTGATGAATAATTGAGAGGGATAAAAGTCAGGATAAGAGACAGCGTTACTCGTACGTTAATAATATTTATATTAATATTTTTGTAAATTTAATTTTTGTTGGGCTGAAAAAATGTATTTTAAATTCACAAAAATATTACATTGCACATTGTTAATAGCGCTGCTTCCTTATTGGTCTTAATCTCGCATTTATTTCTTCTTCATTTCCATATCGTATTAAATATCTCATTGATTCAAAAAAATTCATGATTCTATAAACTGTATAAAAATCATACTTGTAATGTAAAATTTTGAAAAATTTCAAAACTAGATCCATCCTAAATAACAAAAACTTTTTTGTCCCAACGACTTTCAAGTGACTTTTCGCAAATCCTTGAATTTATCATTTTATAGTAATAAAAGATTGAGTGATTTTGAATGAAAATTTGTTGAAATAAAATCTCCTTTGAGAGATTATTTCCTGCGACAAAATAAAATTAAAAAAAAAAAAGGAAGCTCGGGTTGAGGGGTTTCTGCAGACGAGAGAAATTGGAAATGCGCATATCGTATTTCAGCGATGTGACAGACGGCGTGAAACCATTTCGCCAGTTGCAGTACTCTAAACGAATGATTCATCCTACCTCTATTTCCACTTGCGGCGTCGACCCTCCGCGCGCGCTATTTACGCATCATCAAGTTTGATGGGTCGCTAAAGGCTGCTGACTGAGACCTCCATCGAAGGTTTAGGCTTTATCAGTGACGCAATATAATATTTAAAAGGCATTCTTAACTCTGTGTCATCGATAAAAGATTAATCGGACGTGGGTATATATGCACGTACGTGACTCGTGGAATCAACTGGAATTCCTGGGATTCTTCTTTCAATTACGAAATCGACGTCAGTTTGATTAAAATTGAAGAATATCTCACGTGTCAGTCTGTAAAGTTTTTTTTTAAGACTGATTGTAACTTATTTGCCTAACATATAAGAACAGACAATCTTATTTGTAAATATCAATGAATTCATAATAAAGTTGGAATTTTCTTTGTTACTTTCTTGTTCGCAGATTGCCGGATTGTTTATTCTCAACGACGTATCCTATGTGTTGAGTAGACGATTGAATCTCACTCAGCTGATTAAGGAGAGCTTTGATCCTAAGCTCAGTTACCTGGACTCAATACGTGACATACCGGTGGTGAGAGAAGTCTTTTATTTGCCAGATGAGCATTATAATGCGGAAAATCTGGCAAGAGAGCTGCGGCAGCTGGACAGACAGAACAGAAATTTGATACCTGTTAGTAAATTATTTTTTATCCCCGAAAAAGGTTTTCATTAAGAAGAATATTAAAGAATATTTTAAAAATACTTTTTACGAAAAGAAAATTAAAAAATTAAAAAACAAATATCTAAAACAATAGAGCATAAAGGCCAAAAAGCAAACGTTGTCAATGTTAAAATGATTATATTAAATTAATAAACAATAAATATTGTCCTAGCCAAACAACAATGAATATTATAATATTATTCTATAATATTATTTTAGCCTTTATTGTTTTAGATATTTGTTTTTTAACATTGAAGCCTCTTTATCACTTTTTGTTTAAAAAAATAAGTAAATCGGTTGAGATAAATACCAAAGATTCTATTCTTTTTTTATTCATTTATTTTATATATATTTTTATTTATATTATCTATATTATATTAAAGATGCATTCATTTTGGATGTTCACGCGCTGTAAGCATTATTCTATCTTCCTTTGACATGTAATGAAAAATAAAAATAGAATGATGCGCGTAAGCATCCAAACGAATGCAGCCTGATAAATATCTACGTTAATTTTCTCTTTTGTACGCAGGAATATCGCAATCTCTGCGAAACGATAACGAAAAAAGTGGAAATTAGTGATTCCGATTATGAGTATCAACCCCCGTATTATTACGAGGTCTACTGTAAGAGTTCCTTATTACTGGCTGAAGATCCACAAGTAATGAAAGAATTGCAACAGGTAAACTTATATTACTCAGTGAAATAGAATATAAATTCAAAATGGCACTTTTGCTGAGAAAAGATATAACTCAAAAAAAAGGAATAAATACTTAATATCACAAAGTAAACCACAAATTCCAAGAAATGACAAGTCGGTCAGAATTTCGAATTTAAATCGATTTCAAGTTCTATGAAAAATTAGAAAAATTATTTTAATTTCAGATTTAATATTTTCTTTTTTTCAGAAATGCGTTCATCCGGCATTTCACTGCGTACAGAGAAGTCGGGTTCTGTCTTTGGTCAGACGACGCTGGGAGGATGACTGTTGGGAGTCATATACGAAGGAAATCGCTAGCGGTTGTGACTGTATGTGGCCGGTCACTAATCTTGGCGAGATAAGCCATCATTACTGATTTAATAATAAAGTTATATATTAGCAAAGTTTAAGTTTAATTATATAGCACGAACGTATCGCGAAACTTCGCACGTAAATCCACAATAAAAAAAGATCTTTCGTAAAAATATTTATTCTTTGCATTGTATAAACGCAAATGAGAGAAATATAACAAATATCGCTTTCAGCATCGCTTTCATGATCCTTCTCTCTTACATATCATTTATTGTGAAAAATCAACAACGTGTTAGTTATTTCGAGAAACGCTTCTCGATAAAATTTTTTTTCTGCAGTAGATTATTTCCACGAATTCGCCTTGTGCTTTGGCAAGAAATGGAATCCGTCAGGCACTTTTCCGAGTAACATCTCGCTAAAAGTAAACAAAATTGTTAATACCATTAATATATGTGGTGGTAGTCGAAATCGAATGCTGCTTAATGAAAGTTAATAGCTTCGAAGAATGGCCTTACGATAACTTCACCCAATCAGCACAATTGGAACTAGCCATCAGTGTCTCCAAATCATCGCGACCTCTATAGAACGGTGGTCTCTCATTGATTCTCTGCGGCGGCCTCTCCAAAATTCCAACAGGAATATACCTGCGATACATTTCAATGCATATTAAAAAAATACATATTAAAAAATAATACTTTAATTGAGAAAAACATGTTTCTCTCGAGACGGTCTTACCTGTGAAGAAACGAAATCCACTCCAGCATAAATCTCCTAGTAGTTTCGACACCACGAGTATCGGATCCCCAATGTTCGAGTCCATAATTCGCGTACTTCCTGAGAATGTCGAATCTCTCCGAGCTCGATATGTCGATCAACTTTCTTTCTTTTATCTCGGTGAAGATCCACGGCTTGATCAACGCTCCGCGTCCGATGGTGATGCCTTGCACCGTACCATAAGTCTCTTTCGCATGACGATAGTCGTCAAAGGACAAGATATCGCCATTCCCGAACACGGGTACTGGCTGTGCTGTCACCGCACACTTCTCTATATATTCCCAATCAGCCAGTTTTGTGTACCTTTGCTCACGGGATCTACCGTGAACCTAGAAGAATCATTCAGCATTAATATGTGAATAAAAAAAATAAATCATATTTCTCTAATATCTTGTCCTCCTTGAGAATAATTTATTTTCTAAACATTTTGTTGAATGTAATGTGAATATTCTGTTAGATTTTAAAGTTTTGTAAAGATTTTAAAGAAGCATATACAAGACATTGAACTCTTAAAATTATCAAGATATTTTAAAGATCTTTTTTGAAAAAAAAGAATCTGCTTTTCAAAGAGACCGATTCACAATGACAAGCACAAGTGTAAATTCAACGGACTTACAGTAATCATGGACACACCCCAGTCTCGAAACCTCGGCATTAGATTATGTGCGATTGGTTTGTCTATATAGACTCCAGTTCTGGTTTTAACGGACAAGGGTATGTCCAACACTTGGCTAACAGATTTTACCACGGTCTCGAGTACGTTCAATCGATTGAGCATACCACTGCCGCCTCCCTGTCTATAAATCAGATCGATCGGGCAGCCAAGATTCAAATCGATGTAGTCCACGTCGATCTCATGGTTCAGCAGCTGAGCGCATCGCGCAAGTACTCCCGGATTATTGCCGCAAAGCTGCACGCCGAAGATATCCTCGCTCTCGTGTCGCTTCACTAACGCCCATTCCTCCTGTGTGCCCTTCAGTATCTTCGGTGCTAGTGCCATCTCACCACAAGTGATATCTGCGCCGTATTCCTTGCAAATTCTTCGAAACGGCAAATTGCCCACTGTAGTCAAAGGACTCAACAGTATCTTGCCGCTCCAGTCAATTCTTTTTTTTCCGATTGTCGTAATCTAATCAAATCACTGTCATCTACAGGTCCAATTTTCAATTCCTTTGACTTTTCAATTCCTTCGTCTGAAATATCACAGCTAGAAGTATCTACTTCTGTTTTCTCATCATTTGTGTCGTCAGAAATATCTTTCTCTGCTTTTTTGCCATTGCTACTGTCGGAAGTATTAATCGCAACGTTTAATGCCGGATTAGTCTTGTCCTCTACTTTATTTATTGAGCTCTGCTGCTGTTCCTTTTCCTGGATGGTCCATTAGCTTTGACAATCATCTCTGCCTTGGAAAAATTATATTTACGCTTGCGCAATTTGTTTTGTAAGTCCTTGGATAGGTGATTCTTGACAGCTGGCAAACGCTTGTTGTATTCCTTGAATCTCTCCTCATCAACAATGTTAAAGCCATCCTTAGTCAAGTGTTGTGAGCCCATTCTACAAGTAATTCCTCTCGGGCACTTGCCAGTTAAATTGAAAATATGGCATTCCGAACTTATGTCTGCCGGCCTGATTTTCATGTATTCCTTCCGATCATGCAAGAAGATACAGCGATTGTTCAGACATTTTCTCTCAGATTCATCTGCTGTTTGATCTGCGATCCAAGGACACAAACTCAATTCCCTAGAAACCTTAAACGGAGGTGGTCTTGCCTTATTTTGACCTCTAAGCTTTTCTTTCTTGTCATCCAATTTGGGTTTCTTAGCAGGGACGTCATCCAATAATGTATCTTCTGTCTCATTTGCGTCTGCATCTGCAAATACTTTTTGCTTACCAATTCCTGTCACACATTGCTCATTCAACTGTCTTAAGTGATCTTCAATAATAAATCTGTAATGTCAGATATATATATATATATATATATATATAT